TAAAGTGACACTTCCAATTCTTGACCTTATTTTCAAGGTCGATCAACCAGATCTTTCTATTCGAAGTGAAATTTACGTGGCCATCCAAGTCGACCTTGAAAAAGAACACATGAGAAAAGAGTTCTCGTGACTAAGGAATTGCCATCATATGACAACAATCAACAAAGTTGATGAGCACCGCTAGGCATTTTGCCTTCAATCGGGTCAGGGTAACACCATAGCGATTCATAATAGCTCGAAGCTTGCGACAGAGAGGACGGTGAAGTCCTTGAATGAATTGGTCGTGGTACAACACGAGCCATCCCCCATAATCTTCAGTCAACCGGTCATTTGGGTTCGGGGCCTCTAACACAATGTCGTCGTCATAGACGTACGTCCTCTGGAGTCTCAAAGCCTCATCAGAAGACAACACAGAGCGCTTTGACCTTGACACTGCTGTGAATGCTTGGGGCGAATATTTGGAAGCCATGCAAGTGCTAAGCAGAAGAACGAAGGAAGAAGGAATGACCCAAGGGTAAGGAGAGGGAAAAATGAAGTCATAAAGGGGCCTCAACCTTATATATAGGGCTCAAAATGCAGTTGAAACTCCACTGACCGTGCCTCGGGAATGTGAACTCCACGTCACGTCGCCGAAAGAAATAATTTAATTATTTGCATAAATATGAAAACAATAATACAAGGAATAGAAACATGTATTTATTCAGCATGAAAAATTTTACAAATGGCTCGTCAGCTGCATGTGGCAAAATCAACCCCCGACTCAACAACTTCTTATATAAAACTCGACCCCCTAACTTTTAAACCTGTCTACACTGTCGACCTTAGCTTGAAATCGAGCGACCAAAAATGCCTCCCTTACGTATGCCATGTCCATCCACGGATTCACAATCTCCATTTGGATGGTCGCAGTTTTGGTCTAATGGTCTTCCGCGTCCGCTCGGTGGTCAAGCAGTTCAACCGATAGCTTCTTGAAGAGGACATCCAACTGCACCTTCAATCTCCATTTGGGTTCGGGGCCTCTCGCTGGGCCTTGGTTTCCTTCCGAGTTTCGGCTTCACGAGCGAATATATCTACCTTCTCGTCCATACAACCACGAAGTCAGTCCAATCCTTTTCACTAATCGTTGCCTTCAACAGCCTTCAACAAGTCAGAAATGTGAATCGGGTCGTCGGCATAATAAAAAGAGACCAAGTTAGGTGAAGTGCAAAATCACTCTAAGCCAGGTCAAACAACCAAACTCCTCATACCCAGGAGTCGGTCTTGCTCAGACTAGAGCAAAGATGAGAAACTCTCACCAGCATATAGGTGGAGCACCCACAACTCTCATCCCTTTGATCTGAGAACCAACCACATCCTTATCCTCAGGCGGCGTACCCCAGAAGTTCCCCGATTATCCTTTCCCTGCTGACTAGCAGGTTTGGCCGATGCTCCAACAAAGGAAACTGTTAGACCCTTGCCCGACTTCCGACGTAACAGGGGAATGTCATCAGACGATTCGTTCCCATCATCGTCATTGCGCTCATCCAATGTCCCTCTCTTGAAAGCTAGCTGCTTCACTTGCCTCTTTTTGTCAATCTTACTGCTCTCAGGATGTTTCTCCCTGTCACCGACCACACCACTCTTAGAATGATGACTTTTTACGAGAATACTCGAGGGATGGATTTTCTTAGCTGGTAGTAAAAAAGCCTTCATCATAATATCATCAGCTGGCTATTCAAGTTGGACCTTCCTATCACTCGCCATGGGAACAACTTCAACAAGGAACGACCAAAGCTTTGGATAAGAAGAGAGTGCATGAGTGAGAGTCATCCGTAACAGCCTATTTAGGGTGACAACGCACGAAAATTCAGAGAGTGATTATTAAATATTGTTTATGAAATAAATGAATTTAATGTAACAATTAATTTTTGTTTTTATTGCAGCTGTTGTTTTCAAAAAGTAAGAAAATTGGGAAATTAAATATGTATGATAGGATCATGGCAACACGAATCTCAGAGAAAAATGTAGATTCACGACAAATAAAAGGGACCTACGGTCAAATTATATAGAGTTCTAGTCAAACACTAATTTAATTTATTGGAGAAAAAATTAATGCCAAGTCGAGGGATAAATATTTCAAAGACCTGATAAGTCACTCCATTGAGTAGGCTAGCTGACAGACGTAATAGGCCGAGCGAATGATAGCTGTACGCTAGGCCAAACAAAGGACAACTCTACACCAGGATGAATGAAGGACGAATCCACGCCAAGCCAAAAGAAGGACAACCCTACAGCAGGATGAACGAAGGACAACTCTATGTCAGGCCAACGAAGGACAACTGACTGCTGAATGAATGAGGGAGACAAGTCGAAGGCTGAAGCAAAGTCACAGATAAGCTTGGTCGGGAGGCTTTCATATCGTTCGATTTGATCCTTCATCAACGAATGAATGAATGTCTACTGGCGACCGAAAGTCATCATGATCAACCAACAACTTCATTATTAATATATTTATAGATTTAAATTGTACAAATAACCTTAATACTTTTAAGCTTCTTTGTACAGAAGGGGTCTTTAAATGTAATTATGTACTCTGGTCACTTATTATACCTATAAATAAAAGATCATTTTATGAAAAAGATTTCTAGGTGCTTTCATTTTTATTGTACTTTTTCTTTGACTCTTATTCTCCTCTTTTCATACGCTCTATTCCTTGGACGTGATTCCTTGGACGCTTTAGGATTCAACTTATACAATTGCACAATTGTTTTCCTATGAAGCTATTAGATTTTCCATGAAATTTAAATTCCAATAGAAATGTATTTATTCATTGGCAGATAAATACAAAGCATTTTATAAGTAAAAAATGTATGTTTATAGAATGAAATGAAAATATTATATACATGACTGCTTATATGGCCATGCTAAAATAAAGAATTCACCTTCTTATTGTATTGGTAGGGGACTCCAATATCCCCCGCGCGTAGATGTTTTTCTGTCACCCCAAATAATTGTGCAATTTAAATCATGAATTATTGTGCCGATGGTAGAATCTCGGCTAGGGGTGAGTAGGTATATTTTCATCTTAAACAATAGTAAACTTGGCTGCACCATTCCTTGCCGACGAGGTATGCATCAAACATGGGTGTGTTAGGTAATATTTGGATAGTGCTCCTGAGACAAGTGTATTAGAAGAGTAAGAAGTATCGTAAAATTTAAAAGATTATACCTTGAAAACTAAAGCAAAAGTGGTGTACATATAAAAATTTCATATTACTTATAAGCAAATACCGTGAACATTTATTTAAATTATTAAATGATTTACTATAATGAAATATAAAATATCAGTATATATATTGTTCTATTTTTCTTGAGTTATTATACTTTTTTTTTTTCACTGGTTATTTTAGATGACTCATTATGTTGTAATATTATTTTTTATATTTAAGTTTTTGAATAGAAGATGAGTAATAGGGAAGAAAATGTGTACAAAAGATAAGACTAGCAAACAAGAAGATAAATTTTTATTTGGTAAATTAAATTACTTACTTTTATGACATCTTCAATTTATTTGGATTATAAACTGTTATTGATAGAAATGAAAATAGAAAGTTTTAATTTCATCGTTCGGCCTTACTTCTGTGACATCTTCAATTTATTTGGATTATAAACTGTTATTGATAGAAATGAAAATAGAAAGTTTTAATTTCACCGTTCGGCCATCTGTTCCCACATTGAAAATTCCAAGCCCCTAGGTTGGGTCGTGACAAAGGATAAGTTAGATTTATTTATTGACAATATTGGTCTTTGCTTTTTGTTTGTGTCTAAGATTGAATCTATTCACCATTTTTTTGTTTTAGTCAGAATTGAAATAAAATCAGAGATGGATAATATGTAACAAGAAAGTTAAGCCTTGGAAACAACCAAAATTTCTCCAATTACCTACAAAGGAGCCGTTCTCCCTTTTTTTTTATCTTCAGCTTCTTGCATTTAATATTATCGAAAAACTTGATCCTTACATGTTTCCGAGAAATCACCGATGCATAAAAATCTTTTTAGTTTTATAGCATCTTAGAATCGTTATTTCCCAGTTAATATAACATCTTAATACAACCATATTGTATTGTCATATTGATTATGTATCTTGGCTTGCAAGGAGGACAGATAGAGGAGAAGCCAGGCAGGGAAGTTGTCTAATGAATAAAAACTAGTTTAATCTCACTCTCAACCTCACATACAATTACATCCCGACATTAAAACATTTCATCCTTACTCCATAGTGTTTCTCTTGAATATATGCATCTTATTTGTCATTTTAAGTGAACTACTTAAATCTTTACCAAAATTTAATGTCAGAAATTTTTATTTATCCAGTGAGAGATCTTTTACAAGTTGGCTAGATTTTGAACTCAAATCATAATTTTGATCAAACTGCTGTAATAAGACCCAATACAAAGGCTTTGTACATTTACCAGCTTGATTGGTAAGAGACGCGTAAAACATGAGCCAAAAATAATGGTGTCAGTTTCCATATGTGAGCGCGGATTTCAGTTTGTTGAACTCCAGCAAAGTTAAACTCTCATAAAAAAAAATACTACAAGTAACCAGCCTACGAGGCAAATCAGTCGGATGAAACATGTATATGTCAAGATCCTATGTTGAGAGCATTTCTAGAGTTCTCTGTAATTGAAAAAAATTAATTAGTGAAGGTTAGTGGTATTAAATTCATTCATCCTCTAGATCTAAACAGCAAACCTGGAAGGCTGGTTTGAAATATCACTGTTAGTTATGTGCATTATCTTGGAATAATTTTTAAGCCAGAAGAGTGATCTGAAATTTCTCCAAATTAATTCTTATGTTGATTCTCTATTTAATTTTGCATCAAAAGATTGCAGGTTACATGTTTGTGTAGTTTGTAAGTGCCATAAAAAATTTCTATTTTGCTTATATGGTTTACCCTTAAAGACATCTAAATTTTCTCATTTATTGTTTGGCTGCTTTCAAACATGTGTTTATTTCAGGAAGTGGAGGGAGGCTTCTATGGTATCGCTGCATCATCTTCATATCCTGTTCATGTTGCTATTAATGGAAAACTTTTAGGTTTCTGCAAATCCAGCTATCCAATTAACTTTGTTATTCTGTAGCTGGGCGCAAGCTACTGTCATAGTCATTATTCCACCACAGCTGCAGATACTCGAGCTAGTTATTCTCTTAATGGCCTGATTTCACATGGTCGAGTACAGAAAGCCCACAAGTCAAAGGCAAGATTAGAGTTATTTTTCTCATCTTATATCTATAGTTTGGGCCATTTACATAGTATTTACATATCTCACACCTAAATTTTCATATTTACACACCTAGCACTCAAATATTTAATATCACATAAAAAATAAAAAAACTATTATCACTTTTAAAAGTGCATTACACCTTTTCATGCATGGGTTTAAAGCACCACAGTGTTATATATGTAAATATCTAAGTTTAGCGTGCGATATGTTAATACATAAGAATTGAGTACTATGTATATAAATTTCCCTTATAGTTTATGCTATAAGTTAGTGATGTAACTTCATTTTTACTCAAATCTTTAGTTGAATTCTTCTTGTAAGTCTTCTATGGCTCATCTAGTTTAATAATATGCATTTATATGCTCATATCTTGATCTACATGCCCTTGATTATACGGAAATTAAGTTCCTTTTTGATAACTGATAGATGAAGGCTATTAATTATCATGAATTTCTTTGGAGTTTGACGACGCTGATGCATGTTTCAGTTTGACTAGTCCATGATTTTGTGTGTTTGTTTTGTATGCAGTCCGGAAATGGTTGTGATCTTAATAATTACTCATTACTATTTTTTTCTAAAGAGTCACCCATTGCGTCAAAAGCCAGAACCAAAATTTAACTGCTATGTATGATTTGATATGTTTATAAAACCACTGTTTGCAACTTATTTGTATAAGGGCATCTGCTTTCACCAATTTCCAATCAAACCGATAGTTGTCATTTCAAAGTATGAAGAGGCTTAACCCTCAATCTAATAAAGCTAGAACTGACCTGTAAATGAACCAATGCACTCGATGAACAACTCGAACTCGAACTCGAACTTGGCTTGATTAGTGCGCAAGCAAGTTTGTTAATTAGTAAATAATTAAGTTTGAATATTTTCTAACCAGTCAAAGTTTAATTGAACTAAACTTAAAGGTTCAACTTTTTTATTTATATTCACAAAAAAGTTATTTGTTGTTCAACGAGTAACTTGTTAAATGCTTTATGACTAGTTCTTATCAATATATTATTTACCTAAAATTTAAGGGATGCTTACATACATAAAACCCAAAACATTGCTATTTACAACCCTCTTTCATCCATGTTTTGAATTCTCACTCAAATATCAAAATTCGTGATAAAATTCCAACAAATATTTTTCTTTTTATCAATTTCTCAATTATTTGATTGTGGCATGCATAAATACATCGGTTCGGCAGTCTAAAAATATCACCTAGATGCTAGATTTTGTAAATAACAATGTTTCGGGTCCTATGTATGTAATTACCCCAAATTTTAATTAAGAAGCTCTTAATTAATTATACATTTAATAGTAGCATGTTATAATTTAATGTCAAAATGTATGTTTATTTAATGCAATTCCTTATTATTTCATTATTTCAATTATTTAGTTTATTTGTATTTATTTATATTATTTACTTACACCAAAACTTATTGCAACTTTATATTATCTTATTTAATTGTCTTAAACTACTTAGGTATCGATTCAAAATTTATTTGATTGTTTTTTTGTTTAAAATAGTAAAATTATTTGTTATAATTTTATATGAAAATATAATTGCTCATTTATCCTTTTTGGCATGTTTATTAACTCATTGAAATTTTTGTTCGATTAATTTAAATAAGCCAAGCGCAATCCAAATATAATTATTAAGAAATCTAAATAGTTCAAGTATGAACATAGATATCAAAGTCTGATTTAAGCTCAAGCCGAACGTGATTAACTTATAGTATGGTCAAGTCAAATCCAACCCATAACATAATTGGCTCGACTAAGCTTGGTTACGACCTGGAATACATGAATATTGTTGTCTTTTCTTAGATGGTTTGAGTATGAAAAACTCTAGAAGTTAGTGTTTTAGATTTAATTCTTCCAAAATGCGCTAAAACATCAATTAAGCTAATGTGAAATGCACCCATCAACAATGATAGGATCACTCAATATTATTAATTTTTGAAGCATGCGTTGAAAAATATATTCCTGTTAATGGGCAATATGTGGCACTGTAAATCAAAAGGTTAAAATAAGGTTTCTTTTTCTCACTTTTAAACTTATTGCATTTAAATACATGCAACCAAAAAACCCCTATGATACATGTGCAGATGATGCACCTTGTTTAGTGTTGTAATCACATAGTGATAATATGATCCTTGGGAATTAATATGAATGTAAGCGCTCCAGCAAGGCGAGGCAAGGCGAGGCAAGGCGAGGCGAGGCAAGTGGAGTTGTAAGTGAATTGATTCGAGCTGAGTATTACCTTTTGTTCAAGTGTATTAATATATTTCTCAGCATTGTTTGAGCTATGTTTTTATCTTGTTCAAGCTTCTTGATTCAAGCTGAGTATTACCTTGTTCAAGTGTATTAATATATTATTGAGTTTAATTTTTAATCAAGCCTAATTAAATTTATGTTTGCTTATAATTTAAACTTCTAATCTTACCACTAAACATAAATAGATTTATAAGCTTTAATGAAAGTTGACATAATTTAATAAATATTTGTAATTTTATTTTCTGAAGTTCAAATATTTATTTAAGGATACTAAGTCATTAAATTTATTCATCTAGCTTTTTGTTTGATACTTTCACGTTTCATCATGGTTATACCTCTCATATTATAAATATTTTTAATGTGTATTATGCGAGAAAATTGATTTAATAACAGTGATTAACTTATCATTTAAGCAATTAATTCATTAATAATCTAGCATTTTATCTATTTCTTAACAACATGCTTGTTAAACAACTATTGAGATAGCTTGCGAACATAAATGAACTAAATTTCATTTATATTTCAAGCTTTTAAAACTCTATTTATGCTTCTTCACTTCCTTCAATGAACCACATAAACTAGCCTTTTATGTACGAGCAGTGAGTTAACCAAGTTCACTAGGTTGCTTACAACATTATAAGAGATGTGAGGCCATGTTGTTTCAAGCATCTCCTAAGTTGGGGCCATGAACACATTGCTTAGGTGAGTGCTTTGCTTGGATAAATGTTGTAAAGTTTTTTTTTTTGTGTGTGTGTCATTTATATGGTCAACTTTTTAAAACATTATTCTAGGTTCTTCACTTCTTTAAATAAACCAACATAAATGAGCCTTCTATGAACGAGTAGCAAGTTGCTAACCAAGTTTGCTGCTTTTCTTACAACCCTATAAGCGGAGTGAGTCTGTGATGTTTAGACATCTCCTAAGTTGGGCTATTAATACATTGCTTAGATGAGTTTACGAGATGTACATTTGTCTTGATTGGAGAAATAGGCGACGTAGAAGATGAATTTGATTGACAAAGAAAGATTACACGACATGATGAGGAAAGGCCACGACGGTATGGAAAATATAAAGATGCATCCCACTGTATATTGCATTAAATTAGTAAAAATTTAGGTTGAAGGTTATGAGTTTGTGAAGATAGGGACTACAAATTCGATTATTATAAAGAAACCATGGTTGATGCCATACATACTATCAAAGAAATTTAATTTAAAGTTTTTAGAATAGATTAGACATTGAATTGGTGGAACAAAAGCTAAAATGTTCAAAGTTTAAAGCGGGATATGACTGGAACAACGAGATGTGTACTTGCCTAGGTTGGAGAAATGAGCAATAATAATTAAAATATAGAAAGTGAATTAGATTGATGGAAAAAGATTAACATGGCATGTTGTGAAAAGGATATCATGATTGGGAAAAAATAAAGATGCATCCAAGTGTCATGCTATAGAAATGTAGGTGTTAAGCTCTTAATTAGTAAAATTTTAGGAGGAAAGTGATGAGTCTGTGGAGATAGAGGAATGGATAGAGGCTATGGACCCAATGATTTAAAAGAAGCATGGCTAATGATGGTGATGATCTAGATAGTATTGAATATGGGATAATCTTTGAGGCTATACACACTATCAAAGTAGTTTGATTTAGTATTCCTTTAATTGAATCAGACATTGAACTAATGGAACGAAAGCCAAAATTTTGAAGGTTCAAAGATTCAAATAGAACCCAACTAGGGAAATTGAGATATATGCTTGTCTTGCTTGGAGAAATGAGCGATAATACTTAAAATGTAGAAGATGAATTTGAACGATCGAGAAGGTTGAATATGATATGAAGTGGAAAGGCCATCACATCTTAGAAAAGATAAAGATTCATCCATGTGTAATTTTACACTAAACATGTGCAAGTGTTTTAAGCTCCAAATCAATAAATTTTAGAAAGTGACGTGTTTGTGGAGATAGAGGATGGGATAGAGGCTACAAATCCAGTGATTGATTTTAAAGCATGGTTTATGATGATGATGTTATATATAATATAGAAGATGGGATCATCCCTGAGGCTATGCATACTACCAAAGTAGTTTAATTTAATATTTTTAGGATTGGACTGGACATTGACCGTGGAAAGAAGTTTCAAGATTCAAAATTTTGAATGGGTCCAAACAATTTAAATGTTGATGATGTAAATATTATTAAAACTAATTAGAATCATTTAAATGATGTAATATTTTTAGAAATGATGATAATTAGGGTTTGAAGAATGACTCGGAGGAAGGACTAAGGTTTAGAGGTTCAATCAGATTTCAACTGTTGATTGACTGAGGGCATAATAAATGTTACAATATTTAATTATTAATTAAATAATATGGTCATGATGCAAATATGTGACTGAATGCAAGAAATATATATATTTAAATGAATAACATCCTCTTTTGTGGTTATAATTGGAATTTAGAGAACCCAATGAAACATTTTTATTTCATTCAATCAAAAAATTGATATTCTAAAACTAAATTAGGAATACAAAATGTGTTTTTGTATTCCTAAAATAAATAATGGTTCATAGCCAATTGCATGAATAAATTGTTAAAACAATGCTCAATGCATGCCCAATTGCATAAATTTTTGTTTGATACTTTATACATTATGTCATTAAGCAAATTTTGATTTTTTATTATTTACATTAAGGTTAATTTCTACTTCTTTGATAACAAATAATGAGATTAAACATAGTTTGATCATGGACAAAAGCAGGTTGTTCAAATGAACCATTAATGGTTCATTGATTTGTTGATCCAACTTTCAATTCATCATGGTTTTTCTTTTGTAAAACAATTAAAGTATTCGACCGAATTGTTCGAGGAATTGATTCAGGGTTATACTTGTTAAATCAGTCGGCTCTACCAGCAATTTTTACAGGTAAATTCTAAATTGTTTTCTCAGAATCTTATTTTTTTTAATCTCATTTAACCAAATTTTCTTGGGTCAAGCACCTCATTTATCACCAAATCTTAATAAGTAGTAAATAATTGTTATTAATTTTAATTTCTCGAATCTTTGCATAAAGATTGGGTTGTATTGACATTTCAAACATACAATTTGAAACATTTGTGCATTAGATTTATAATAATATATACTAACTATTTCAATCATGATGATGGAGCAATAATATATTTTAAAATGAACTTTAGGTGACTGATACAATAGGAGAGTATATAACAATAAACGATCGTAAGTCTTTTCTTGTTTTCAGTAGTATTTTTGTCCTATTGAATGGCTTCAGAATCTTGTAAATATTTAATATCTTGAGGTTACATACATATGACACAATTCTCATATATTTACATATCTAATTTTGAAAATTTGATATCTGCACGTACCGTGGCCTATTGGTAGAGCAGCCTTCCTGAAGGTTGTAAGTCCCCTTAGGTCACGGGTTCAAACCCCCCTTGTGTAGGGTGTGGTACTCGAATATTTAGCACACCTAAGGATGAACGGGGATCCTCTACTAGCCTTTGACCATTACTTTTGAAAATAATATAAATAAATAAATATATATATATAAAATAAAATACTCATTTTCATGCTATGGTTTTAACATGATAGTTGTTTAATATTTATCTAAATTTCAAAAAAAAAATCATTAATTATAAAGCTCAGTAGGACTTGCCTGCCATTTTATTCAAATTACTATAAAATTTAAATATTTAAGTATATGTTGATTATTATTGCACATATTTGTATGCATATGCTTGTAACTTGATTGCACTTGTACAAAATAATGGCTCGCACGCACGAACACACTATATATATATATATAAGCTTTATTAAAATTTTGAGTGTAAGGCTCAACTTGGTCAGGGTAAGTAGCGAGCTATATGCCACGGACAAACTTCTCTCATATCACTCATGCAACCTTGTTGTTCTTCCTAAACACTAAATTAGTCTAACCATTGCAACGTTTGGATTTGGAAATACAAAAACTCTCTTGCAAGTAAGTAAGGAGAGGCTATTGAAAGATGGAAACATTTCACTAAGGAGAGGCTATTTGGGAACCTTGGGTTGTTGCAAACGAGGGAGAGAGACCACTATTTATTGTCCTCACTCATGACCTATATAACTTTTTAGATTACATTAAAATATTTCAGCTTCTAGATGATTCTACATTATGCACATGTTTCCAGAACATTCTATACTGTCCTAGAGTTTCCCTTAAAGCTTTCCCCTTCCAAAAATTTTTTGAAATGCGATGGAACATTCTGGAATCTCTTAAATTGTTCTTCTCTTTATGGTCTTCTCTAGAATCTCCTGTCCCATCCCATGGTTGAGTTGCTAATCCCTCTGGAGATGCTTGAGTGTGACATATAGGTTGCTTGGACCTCTCATAAGATATGATTGGAGTCAATGTTTCTCAAACTTACATGGAGGCATGTTTTATTTATGCCAGTAGCTAGTTCTGTAAAAGTTTGAAGTATATATATTTGTATGTTCTTGTATATAAGATTTTTTTAATTCATCTTAAAGTGATTTTTAAAAAAATTGACACATGAGAGTATTTTTATCAAAAAATAATAATTTGTGTACTATCGAAGCTTAATTGTTTTCATAGTTTCTTTTGCTTTAAGTATGGTTTATGGTTCCAGATAATCTGCTTTAAAATAAGCAGTACGGATGAACAATTTTTAGAAGCTTCTAGTGTGGTGTCTACCACTGCAGGCTTTGGGTAGCCATATGAATGCGATCAGCACTTTTATCAATATTACCTGTTAGAGGGTCCAAGGTTAATATATTTCATTTTTTAGATGATTAAAATTCTTCACATTAAAATGGAAGCATAGTTACAATTAATTTTAGTTTGCATTGAATGAGCATTTAGTTCATTGCATTAATAAAACTATGGTGATGATTATAGTGTTGATGAATCATCTTATTCTTGGTTATTGGTCTGTTCTTGCCTACATCACACCTCCGTATGTTAAAATTGAAAATGAATATTCAAACAGTGCAGTTGGAAAAATGAGTAAAATACATGTACCAGCACTTGCAGAATACCTGGCTTGGGGGATTTAATGTCTATCATGCCATTTTTGTTTATGTGCAATACAATCAGTTTAGGGTCTTTGCGATATTTGCTCCCATATTAAAAATGTAAGTGAATATTTTAACACTACTGTAGGAAAGATGATTAAACAAATGTTCAAGTAGTTGCAAAATGATTCAGACGAGTTTCTGTTTATCGTGTGACTTTTGTCTGTGTGCAAATTTTTGCTTCTATTAAATGTAATTATGTCTTCTCCTTTTTTTTGAATCTTAATGATTTTGTGTTCTGTGTGCTGGTTAAAAACATGCCATTCACAGGCTGGTTATCCAATTGGAATTCTTTCCATCGGAAGAATACCATTGTGATGGAAACATATAGGTGGTACAGTTGAGCAAATTTTGATTTTACGACCTCCAAATTCTTAAAATGTGTAGGATTCCTTTACGCTATTCTATGATGTGGAAATTTAAGTTCGGTGCTTCAATACTAAGCTGCTGTCTTGTGATTTTAAATTTCTATTTTTATTTACTATTAAATTTAGTGAATTTTACATACATAGCACAGGATTCTTATGCATTTACATATCTCACACTTATACTTTCATATTTACATAAATAGCAATTTGGTGTTTAAACATATTCATGAAAAGGTGTATTTCAGTTTTGAAAAATGGTAAGTGTTATTTTTTGATGTGATATTAAAGATTTGTGTTGTGTGTGTAAATAAGAAAGTTTAGGTGTGAGATATGTAAATACATAAGATTTTTGTACTACATATGTAAATGCCTCTTAAATTTAATGTGTTCAAATTTTTCTGGTCTGCTACATTTGCATTCAAAGCATGCAGTGATCTTTAAATCTATATTTCAGTGTGTATATAATCTACTGTTTAATGCCAAACTTATTTTCCCCTTTATCTCAAATTGTCTGCTTCAAACATTGTTATATGATATTTCCAATGTTGGATGCTTTTGTTGGAAAACTTTTGTACATCTTGATAAGTTATTTTCTTAGATGCAGACGTCTTGATTGATTTTTCTATTTCTCGAATGGATTTGTTTGACAATGTGTTCCTTCTTTTACAGCCAGACTATCAAGCAGTTGATGAAATCCCACAAGATAATACAGTGTCAGTTCATGTACAATCTGCAGGGAAACGTATTTCAGCGGAGGACAAGAAAAGGTTGCTTGTCAACACAGTACGTATTTAAAAATTTTCATGTCCTTTTTCTGCTCTTTCAGGAACATTTACTAATTTTTGGTTTCGTCGAATGTTTAAAGTAATTGAAACATTGTTTTTTAAAAGCTCCCTATGCTTCATTGGTTGGCATGTTTATCTTTCATCACTGAACCTCGACCATATCTTTATATGAATAATTTTTATGATTGAAATATTTTCCTTTTTGAAATATAGGATGTATTATATTTTCTTTTTTCGTATCTCATTACTGAACCACATTGGCCACTTTCTTCAGTCGTATGTACTCAGTTTCAGACAATTAGGTTCTCTCCTCACAGCTCAATGTTTCCCACTATATTTTTCAATGTACTGAGCATTGATTGTCTATCTCCATTGGCTGCTCTGGGGAGCCCTTATTGATGATCATCTTGCTTGATCTTTCTTTTCTTTCTCTTCTTGAATTTGCCAATGGAGTTTCCCATACTCTCCTTGAGAATTTAATTCCTTGATTGATAGAGGGATGGATTAAGCCTTCAAAGAGATTTTAGATAGAGGTGGTGAGGATATTGTTAAGATTCTAGGGAGAAATCGACACAATTTTTTCAGAAAAATTAGGACAAACTAATATTTTTCTTTAGTAACTTCTAATTAAAACAATACAATGGATAATTGCCTACAATTCGAGAAGTAGACGATCTCTCCCAATTCATACAATTCGAGAGGTAGGAAATCTCTCCCAAACCCTATACCCAATCCGTGCATAATCCTAACCTTAAACATAATAAACATGTTTATACCCAACAATAATAATAAAAGACCAAATTCCCATATGGGTACAAAAAACAAAATTGCTCTTAGGCTAGACATCGATGTGACAATACCCTCCCACAAAAGACACCTTATTCTCAATGTAGGAAAAGACATCTTGTTCGTCCTTCACCACAACTGTCTCTATTTCTTGATCCTTTGTCTCCTTGCACGCTCCATGAGAACTTTTAATTTTTTATCCTTGCAACTGTGTTCTGGGTAAACTTCTTATTATAGCGAAAACATTACCCGTTAGCTTACTCCTCTAGAATTTGTCTCGAGGTAAACTTTTTACTACAACGAAAACATTACCCATTGGCTTACTCCTCTAGAATCTGTCTTTGTAACCCATTTTTTCTATTTCGTGTACACTCCTTTCGAACTTCCATTGTTTAAGCTTTGGTATCGTCATAGTTGTAGCGGTTCGGTACGACGCTCCATCTGTGTTGCTCTGGCTGGCCTTCTCTGTCTGGTTCTTGTCATCCACCATTTGGGCCAGCTCCATCATCTTCTTCAATCCCCACGGTCTCAATGGTCAAAGTGCTAACGTCGAGTTTTATGTTTTTCATGAAATTATTCTCCAATCCTATTTCAGAATTCTCCCTCATCCGTTCTGACAATAACTCGAATCTCTTTCTATATTCATGACAACTATCTTCTAAGTCAAGGCATAGAATTGCTCGCGTAGGTCCGCTTCTTGAATGGTTCGGAAATGTTTTAACAAACAATACTCAAATTTTTGCCATGAACGGATTGGGTGTCTAGCCTCCCTCCACTGAAATCTGGGGTTTTCCCCTCCAGACAACCCGTTGCCATGAGTTTCCCTCCCTATCTAGTCCATTCACGGTGAAGTATCGTTTTGCCTGATACATGTACTCATGCACTTCTTCCCCCTCAAAGAACAACATCTTGAAATGCCTAACCTCAACGTCTCCACCCCAACTTCTTCTCCCCTTGTTGTTTTCCCCTATGTATCGAGGGAAAAACTCTCTCCTTGAACATAGCCATATCCTCTTTATGTTCTCCCATTTCTTCTTCGAGCTCCTCAATACCTCTTGCATATTCTCTTCTCCATGCTTCGACCCAGAAGCCTTCATAAGAAATCTCAAAATTCTCCCCCAATCGGAGCCTTGGAAGGATGTTCTTGTTGGTGGATACTTTACTCTTTATTTTCCTCATTTCCTCTCATCTTCTTATCCGAGGAATCTTCGGTTAACTTTGGGTAGGGTTTGCAAACTGAACCGTTGGCGGGGTCTTGGATTACAACTCAATAAGCTTCCTCAACATTTTCTCTAAGCTCCTCCAAGCTCGCTCATCGGTTGTCAATGGCGGAAAACCTTTCCTTCATCCCAGAATTTAAGTTGCCCAATTTTTTCCTCCAATTTATTTTTCAAATCGTCTATTTTTTTGGCCGTCATTATTTTCTGTCACTGGGGCACACTTGATTCCAAATCTGATCGCTAACTTCTTGGATCAAGATTATAGCACACTCAATCTCGTTAGCCTTCCTCATTAGTTCTGATCGAGTCTGTTTCATGTGGTTTAGTGTGATGGAGATGAATGCACGCCACAATCCCTTCTATTTCCCAGATAACTTGAATCACAATCGCATCGCAAGACTTCGGTCACGGCGGTATACGATCCCTTTGTCGCCTTCCCAACAAACTTTGATCGTGACTTTGTCACATGATTTGGTCACGAAGGCTATAGGCAGCCTCCAATCACACTTTCCCAACAAGCTTTGATTGTGACTGTATTGTTGGGTTTTGTCACAAATGCGACCGATAGGCTCCAATCGCGCAATCCCAGAATTCTCTAATAAGGGTTGTATCATAGGGTCTCCAATCACGATTACGATTCAGTTGGAGTGTCGGACCTTGGTAAGTCGCGATCCCTTGCGTTTATACGCTGTGATCACGTTTACGATCACTCCGTGGCCTTTTCTGTAAGCTGCGATCACACGCCTGCGATCACATTGTGGCCCCTCTGCTAGCAATCATATCGCTGGATTCAGTCAGGAAGGGTCCTGTCGGTGCTTCCAGGGATTTGATAAACACACAATATGTTGAATGAAAGTTGGGTTGTTCACGTGCTTTATTGGGCTCATTTGGGCTTGGATTGGATTACTTTTCGTGTCTTTGGGCTTCTCTTATTGAGACATCAATTTGATTATAAATTTGGTGAAATTAGAGTTTGAATAATCCTGAATTTAATTATGAAAGTCTTTAATCCAAATATTGTATTGAGATCTGTGCTTGATAGGATGGCTTTTTGGGTGGAAAAGTATTAAAGCGCGCATTGTATTCCATCATTTCCTCTATCCTACACGGAAAAACAAGTTGGTAACCACTCAACTTTTGGTTGGGACCAAATCTTCCATCTCTCTCATCTTATGCTTTATCATAGCTTGCACCTTGTTATGTTAATATTCTCTTTCTTCGATGTAGGGTGTTTAAGATTGTGATACATGATGAAACAAATAAAATTCACAATCCACAGATTACTAACTCATGATTTTAGAATAATTTATTCCTTTCATTGCAATGACAATAAATACTCATCATTCATTTGAAAAGTTATTTTAATAATCACCTAAATTTGAATTTTTGTAAGAACAAATATCTACAACCTGATGCACATAAGATTTTCGTAACGATCAATTTCACTCTTAAAAGGAATAAATTCAATACATAAAAAAAATTCATCAACATGCAATTACAAGCAATTAAAAATAAATATCGCTCAAAGGAAAGAACTAACCTCATATTGGAATAAAAATTCTAACCTATACGTAGTCATCTTCCTCTTGAAGTGTTCCAAGAATATGCAACCAACGAATACACACAGATAGAGGAATATTATGATAGTATTTCAATATTGACTGTTTAATGATTTATTTGCCTCATTGGTCCCATTTATATTTCTTACAGTTACCAAAATAAGACTAAGCAAAATCGGTACATGTTTAATGAATTTATGGCTTGTGTTGTAAATTGAAGACACACTACAAGTAGGAGGGGGGTGGTCTCAATGGGATATTACTTGTATATATATATATATATATATATACACTTTTGGGAAAGTTGAGCTTTAATGGAAACTAGGCTAGAAATTAGTGGGTAGTGATTAGGGTATGCTTTGAACTTGGATCTCCTAGTTGGAGAGAAAGCTCTCTCCAACTCCTCCACAGGTCTTGCACTTTGAATTAATATGTTACTAATTTCTTTTGAAATATTTTCAACTTAAAATGTTTCCAATTAGTATGAAATGTTGCAATTGAATACACGAGAATTAAAGCAACTAGCGTGTCAAATAAATCAATGATATTAATAATCTAGCATGTTTATTTTGGCCTATAATTATGTGCTTATATAAATGACAGAGACGTGATATGTTAAAGTGCATGTTATTTAATTTATGCACAATATCTTTAATATATTTCTCAACTATAAGTATGAAAGTTTGTATTAATGCATATATGTTGTGATGATGAATAAAATGACTATAAGATTAAGTATTCTGGTTTGTTATCATACACAACATATAAGGATATTTATTATAATTATTAATTAGAAAATAGGAGTGATTTAAAAATAATTATGCACTGAAGTTAATAATATATGAGTTAAGCATAATGATTTTATTTATCCAATAACTTAGCATAGGTGTCATTAACCAAGTTGATCACCATATTGATATGAAAGCATTTTATTGATATGGAAAATGAATGTGCAAGAATGTAAACTATATTAAACTATATTAAAACCAATTAGGATGATCGATGTTTACATGGCTCTAGACAACTTCACCTATGTACAAGCCTAGCCAAACTTGAGCCAATATTCCTACCAAGTACACTAGCACAAGTTACTCTTTTTCACTCCTTGTGCAGGCGGAGAAACCTTTTTACAGGAACTTTCTTTTCAATATGTACTTGAGTAACACAGAACATTTATCTTGCAAAGAAAGAAGCCAGCTTTTACTTATCTTCTTGGCTCAATCACACTATTTTTATTTCAAGTGAGAAACCTACCACTTTTAGCATAAAATGTTCGGTAATGAAAACTATCTTCAACACCAAATCCATTTGCACTTGAGCCTTGGAATTGACTCAATGACTATCACCTACAACTATAATTTATACAATCCCTTGTGAAATTTGATAGCAAGATGGATGTATTTAGAGAACAATCATAGTAATATGAATGAAGAGTGAGAAAAACACAAATAAGCTAAGGGAGGTTTTTGATAATGATAAACACTTTCGACCTTTCTCCAATTTTTCTTTTATAGATCTCCCAATATAAGCTCATTATTTTTTTAATTTTTCTCATTGACTATTTCTTATGAATCTCTTAGATATATAGCCATTAGTACTGTTAAAAACATGCTTAAATAGCATTTATACATCAGGTTAGTCTTAATTAAAAAATACTAGCTGTTATTCATATGAAATTATTCGTAATCAACAAATTCACTTGATCATATTATATAATTTACATTGGTTTGTATGTTTTATATATCTTAATATTTTAATTAACTATTAGAGTGACTATTTTAATGGCTAATTTGATCCAAATCATACTGTGCAATTGTAAATTATGCTGGTAGATTAATTACATCAACTGTACAATCTATCAGATTTTATAATTCATGAATAATTTTTCTTATAATGTTTGTTAAATATCCTAATAATCTTGTCTAATGTTATTATCACTTAATTTATTTATTTTATATCATATAAATAATGTTAGAAAATAAATTTAATATAATTATAATTAAAAATATTCTAGCATATTTTAATTCATTGTGTTCATTTCTCATTAGCATGCTTTATAAATAAGATTTTAAACTTCATTACCAGGAAACCTAGTCCTTAAGCAGTTAATTTTAAAGATTGTGCTTTGCTTTTGAGTCTTCTTAATATCTTCCTTTTTATTCAATCTCCAAGTAAATATAACTCCAACTTGTTCCATTTCTACATCAATACATCTCCAAGCTAGTTTAATACACAATATCATCACTATAGTTGGCTAGAACAATTAGCAAATCATATTAGATGACATTATTCATGTTTTGTAATCATTAAGTCAATTGTAGGCTACATGTAGTCATATGAGCTCATAGGGTCACACGTGTATAAAGGATTTGCCAACTATTTTAAAACATGGATAAACGTGCCATTTTTGAAAGGTGATCAATGCTACAAAAATGTAGTCTTGTTTCCTTAATGTTCGTGGCAACTATAAAACAAAAGTCCATGCTCAGAATCTCATGGTTCATATAGAATTGGTAAAAACATATAATGAACAAATTTTTTTTTTCTTAAGCCTTTAACCTGTTCTCCATTGTGGGAATGCTCTTGCAAAATCTCATTTTAAACCAAGCCATTAATATTTATGTGCAAGAATGCCCATAGTTTTATCTTGACTGAAATGATTTGCGGCACCACAACCACATAAATCTAAGAAAATTTGCATAAATGAACTATAGTTGTAAAGCTGTGGTCCCTTCAAAGAAAGCCATCTTTAATCATGAATCCTTGGTTAACATTGGTGATTTAGTAGTTAAATGGAGATATATTTCTTTAAAGTCTTTGCACTTAGGTAGTCTTCCTTATTTCTATCAAAGCATGTTATCTAAACTTGTATGATGTATAAAATAATAGACACCTTGCTTAAGAAATCTGTGAGTTTATTGTCCATTTTGGCATAATTTATTTACAGAAAAATGTCTTCTTTTAGGAAATTGATCTATTTGATATACTTATGAGTCATTCCCCCTCACCCCCTCTTTTTTGGAGCTCAAGTATCCTAAATCTTGATGGTGTAAATTTTATACAAATTGCTTGTGCAAAAAAAAAAAAAAGAATGTCTCTTGTATAGAATGTCTCTTGTATCAAAATGAATTGTAGAACAACACAAACCTCATTTATCTTAATTCGAAATGGTCTTTTTGTATCATTTAATTTTTTATTAAAATAAATAATCTGGTGTGCATCTTGGTTTAAAACTCCAATTGATATGCCAAATGTTACATAGGAAATCATAAAATTTATTAAAATTATGTAATGTTTGTACGAGTTTGCTAATAAATAGATTTTTTTTGTCATTAAAGGCACATTTAACAAACTTTTTTCCATTGAAATTCTTCCTTTTAAGATAGTGATGTGTAGCATTACAACGGTAAACCCTTTTGAAAAAGCATTTATAAAAAGTACGCGAACAATGAATATTTGAAATATCATGAATAGTGGTAGGTTTTGAGTAACTGCTAATTGCTTGAGTTCGGCATCTTTTGCCTCTTATGATATATAATTTTTAAGGTGCATGAAATATAGAAAAAGTGATACAATAACATAGCAAGTCATTAAAGAAGTTATTAAACTATCATTAAATTAATATTTTATCGAGTTCTTACCAACCTATTTATTAAACAAAAATGAGTATATTCATGGATAGAAATTAATAAACATGTAGTGTTATATTTTGTTAATTTATGTGAAGAGCTTTGAACATTTTGTTTATGCTTGTTCAATTTTGTAAATAAAGGAGCATAATCAAACATTAAATGATCGAGTATCGAGCTATTCATCGAGTTCACTATAGTCTGCTTTTAGCCTTATCAAAGAATATATACATCCAGGATGTACATATAAGAAGAGAAGATAATTGAAAATTGTATTTAATAATACGTATTTAATGAATTTTATATGTATTAAAGATCCTATTTATTGGCTTCATATCACCAGAAAAGCAAATCACACAAAATCTATCGAAATCTAGTCAAAGTATGCTCTAGTGCATCCTGCATTAATTCCAGTCGTATTAACTTTTTTGTAAATTCTACTTCTAGAATTGTTAAGAATCCAAACGAATGTACTTAAGAGATCATTTTGATTTTACGAACTCTAAAAAGATCTTTCAATCCTTTGATGGCTTTTCAACTAATGGAGAAACCTATAACAGAGAAGCAAGTTTTTCTAATCCATGTATCCTATGTCAACCATCTGTCACCTGTCCCGCTCAAGAATTCTCACCTTGAACTCTATCCATTCACAGAGGCCATGCATCTCAAGGCCGCATTATCTCCTCCTAAGACTAAATGAATTCTGATTTCCTCTTTTTTTACAGCAAATCGTAAGACTCTTCTCTTCAATTCCCTCACAGCTAATGGGGAAATAAAGTAAAATTTTCAATGAATTGAAGATAAAGAAAGAAATCTTAATCCAAAAGGAAATCACCAGCCTTTACTTCGTTTTGATACTTAAGTATTAGTATATATCAACGCTTTCATTTATGTATCTTTTTAGATTAAGGCCTTACATTGTTCTTGGTCTGCTATAGCTTCAGCACCCATCTCAGGCTGTAAGTTGTGCCAATTTACAATTCATAGTATAAAATAATTTTGATTCATAAATATAAAAAAATTCAATGCTGGCTATCTTGCTGTCACATTCAATGATCGTATAATGTTCATCTAGTGCGGATGACTGTCTTGAATATTGTTTTATGAAATTTTTGAATTTGACTTCGAAGCCGCTTTAATTTTTGTATCTTATGGCATGACTGTATTAAAGATAAATTATATAAATTGTAGCTTCTTGACTTGAAAGATTCAAAGGAAATTGTTTATGGGACTCTTGATGCTTGGGTTGCTTGGGAGCAAAATTTTCCTTTGGCCATGCTAAAAAGAGCATTGCTTGTTCTTGAGAAAGGAGAACAGTGGCATCGAATTGTTCAGGTAAAATCACCCATTTTTTTATTTTGCTTGTTTTGATATTTTTTAACTTGTATATTACTTCTTTACTATCTTGCTCTCAATTTCTGCTCTACAATTTAAGTCTAACAACAAATGAAAACACAGTTTTTATATAAGATACATAAGCTATTTGACACAACTTTTATCTAAGCTTAACACTACCATTGTCAGGTATCATGCCATGGATGCAAAAAGTTGTGTTAGGTAGTCGACAACCAAAATAAAATTTTTGTCAAACAATTATGACAAATTCTTTGAATCATTGTGTAATTACTAGGGTGTCCTCTGAAAGCGACACATTGTATGATCTGAATACAGTGAAAAATATACAATGACCGCTACACCGGCGTTCGGGTGTAGTGTCAAATAAGTAAAAGTTTCTACATTATGAATGGATGCGGACAAAGAATTTCATTTATGAAAATAATATTAGGATAGGATATTAGAATATAAGTACTCTCACTGGTAAAGTAATAAAATTAGTAGATATTATGGCTCATAGGAAGATAAATATATTTTGTATTCAAGAAACTAAATAGGTTGGAGAAAAAAGTAAGGTGACTGATAGCTTACCTTTTAAACTAGGAGTTGCACTAGAAATGATGTAGTGTAATTATAGATAATAGTTTAAAGGATAATATTATAAAAATTAATTGAATTAAATATAAAATTATAACCCTAAAGATTGTTGTTCATACTAAAATTTTTAATTTTATAGTGCTTATGCTCCTCAAGTAGGCTTAAATATCGGTTCAAAAGAAAAGTTTTGGAATGACCTAAAATAATTATTGCAAATGATACCTCTTGAAGAAAGGATTTTTATTGGAGGAGATTTAAATGTATATATTGGTAGAGTGGTAGAAGAGTTTAGAGATATTCATGGCGGTATGATTTTTGAGTGATTAATGAATAAGGTAGAACCATATTAAATTTACTTTAGCTTTAACATATGATTTTTTTATTGTTAATACTTTATTTAAGAAAAGAGATGAGTTGAGCATATTATTACTTATAAGAATGGATTTATTAAAACACATTTTTTTCTTATGAAAAGAAGAGATTGTCGAGAATGTAACGATTATAAGATCATTTCAAGTGAAAATTTAAGTACTCGATATCAATTTTTAGTCCTGAATTTTAAGATGAGTTTTATGATAACAAATACATTGAAACATTATTATAGAATTAGATGGGGTCATCTAAAAGACATAAATAAAATTATTTCTATGAATAAACTTCAAGATTTCAAGTTTTGGGATGTTCATGAAGAAGTTAATTCTATGTGGGATAAAATAACAAGCATTATTAAATAAGTGGCATCATATGATGTAGTTAGAGATCCAAAAGAAAAAGTTTTTTTATAAACAAAAATATTTGGTGGCAGAATAATAATGTGCAAAAAATGATAAAATATAAGAATTATTATGAAAATTAGTTTAAATATAAAAGTTTAGAGAATTGAGAAAAATATAAGGTGGGTTTGTAGGGACTCTAAGAGAACAATTTGTGACATTATGAATTTTGTTTTTAGTGATACTTATAGTCAATTGAATATTAAATAGAGTAAAAAATATATGTATAAACTAGTCAAACAAAGATAAAAGAAAAGAAGATTTAATTCAAATGTATTAAAGATGAAAATTAAAAAGTGTTTTTCTTAGAGTAAGATATTCAAAATAGATGGTTGAGCTATTTTGATAAACTTTTCAATGAAGTTTTTGAAATTATGATCGACCTTAGTGATTTTATCGTTAATAATAATAAAACTTTGTATTTTTACCATCACATTAGCAAAAAGAAGTTGATGAGGCTTTAAAGAAAATGAAAGGTGGGAAATCTATTTGACATGATGTTATCCCAACTGAGATGTGGATATATTTAGGAGATTTGAGAATTTATTGGCTTACTAAATTCTTTAATATTAATTTAAAAACTAAAAAGATGCCTGAAGAGTGGAAGAAGAGTATTTTGGAGTGGAAGAGCCTGAAGAGTGGAAGAAGAGTATTTTGGTCCGTTTTTTAAGAAAAAAGGGGATGCACAAAAGTGTGCAAACTATAGACAAAATTATGTTAATTGGTCATACTTTAAAATTATGGGAGAGAGTAATTGAAAATAGGTTAAGACATGATATAAAGATTTCTAGTGAAATATAGAAGCTATACATTTATTGAGAGATTTGATGGAGAATTATAGAGAGAGTAAGGAGGATCTACCTATGATTTTTTTTTTATTTAGAAATGATTTACGATAAGGTTTCAAGAGTTCTTTCGAGAGTTTTAGGAAAGAAAGGTGTTTATACGACTTATATTCAAGTCGTTAAAGATATGCATACTAGAGTTTTTACTTGTGCTCTAATAGAAGGAGGATTGATCAAATATTTTCTTATTTTAATTGGATTACATCAGCGATTCGTTTTAAGCCCATATCTTTTTGTTTTAGTTATGGATGTTCCTACTGGACATTTAAAGGATGATGCACCTTGGTTTATGCTTTTCATTGATGATATCCTTCTTGTGAGTAATTCTAGAAAAAGAGTTCTGGAAATACTTGAACTGCGGAGGTTTTCATTTGAGTCTGAAGGTCTTTGTTTCAGTAGACATAATATTGAATACATGGAATATAATTTTAGTAGTAGTAATTCTAGTGACAGTGTTGTGACTATTGGTGATCAAATCATTAAATGGCATGAACATTTTAGCTATCTTGGGTCTATTGTTTAAAGTAATGGTGATATAGATGGTGATGCTATTAGTAGAATTCAAGCTGGTTAATTGAAGTGGAAGAATGCATCAAGCCTATTTTGTGATACAAAAGCAAAGCGTAGACTTAAAGGAAAATTTTATAAGATGCGGTGAGACTTTCAGTGCTTTATGGCACATAATGTTGCCCTTTAAAAGAGAAGCGTAAAGCAAAGTTAAGTGTTGCTGAGATGAGAATGATAGGAGATGAGTGGCTTGACACTTAGAGACAAAATGCGAAACGAATCTATCTGTGAAAGGGTTGACGTAGCTCTAGTAGCAGATAAGATCAAAGAGAGTCGTCTTAGATGGTTTGGCCAGATTGAACATCGACTATTTGATGATCCGGTTAGGAGAGTAGATGTAAATTTGACTTTTGTTAAGAAATGATGAGGCGGGCCTAAAAAGCTTGGGCATAAAAAATTATCTTAATCTATTAGAATTAAATGAAAATATGACACTCAATAGGGCACAATGGAGAAAAAGTACTCATGTAGCCTACCCCATTTAGTGGGATAAAGGCTTGTTGTTATTGTTGTTGTTGTTGTACACTTAAGCTGGTAAGCATGCACCTACTTTAACAAGAAATGAATTTACTTTTCTTTTTAATGTGTATCTAATTTCATGATTGTGTACCTTTGCGAGTGCTAGTTGTTCCTGATGAATCTCTGATGTTTGGACCTCTTTGAAGTTAAAAACAAAGAAATGACAGAAATCTGATGAAATTTTTTGGGCATCATATTCTAGAACAAAATGCGCCACACAAAGTTTACACTTTTAATGGTTTTGAAATTGATTAGCTAGAAGTTAAAGTGGTACTCAACTAAAATTTGGATCCATTATATTATAAAATGAGGATGGAACTTTTAGAGTCAAAGTTAATTTAGAATAATGGACTATTGCTTTGAAAGTATTACGTTATTCCAAAATATTATAAAGCCTTAAGAAGATAAATTTAATATCTTGAAGCATTGATCAGCTTTACTATATAGATCTGGGTTGGACGTCAATAATCTGCAAACAATAAGGTTGAGTGATAAAATGATTATGCCATGTCAATGTATTAAAACTAGGTGGGATGAGTTAGAATTGCTAAAGAGATGAATAGAATAAATCTTGTTGTAGATAAGGTTGTGAAAAGTGGATAGGTGGTTTGCGCATCTTATGTAACTAAGGGAAAAAATGCACCACTAAGATGGAGATAGAATTACTATGAAATAAAAAAAACTCTAGATTTTGTGCATAAAACTAATACATAACAAAAATGCATTGAGGAGGAAGATCCGTAAAACCATGCTCAAATACATAGGATTAGGACTCATGATGATGATTCATTTTCTCAACTTTATTTTCATCTTGTTTGATTGGTTTATTGTTCATGCAGGTTTTAAAATGGATGTTAAGTAAAGGTCAAGGAACTACAATGGGCACATATGAGCAGTTAATTTGTGCTCTAGAAAAAGATAATAGGCCTGAAGAAGCTCACACTATTTGGGTAAAGAAGATCAGCTATGATCTGCATTCAGTGCCTTGGCGGTTTTGTGATCTTATGCTATCAATTTATTATCGCAATAACATGCTAGAGAGGCTTGTAAAGGTAAATAGTGGTTTTGCATATTTTAATGTTTTCCACCATTGGCTTGATGCTTGACCGCTTCTTTCCACATTTTGTAATAAACCAAATGTTGTTTCACTAGAAACAGTTGATCTAGTTATCTTTGTGGTTGAATACATGGATTTCTTATCATGAGACTAATCACTTCTATTGCTTTTTCCTTAGCTTTTTGAGGATATTGAGTCATATGGCCGTAAACCGCCAAGCAAATCTATCGTGCGAAAAGTTGTAGATGCCTATGAATTATTGGGCTTATTAGAAGAAAAGAATAGAGTACTGCAAAAATATGATGACTTATGTAACAGTTCAAGAGAATCTCCGAAGAAATTGCGCAAGTTCTCAAAGAGGGGTATTGCAGCAGGTAAGATGCTCCCTAGGTGACTTAACTTGGAAGAGTTATTATGTTTTATGTTTTATGTTTAAGACTTTTTAATTAAATGTTTGTAAGAACAACTATGTTCCCCGAACCTGAACAAACCCTTTGTGATATCAATCCAAACAAAAACTTTTTATTTTTATTCTTCTATTATTATCACATTTATCTGAAAAGTTGCTGTTACAATGAAAAAGAGCTCATTTACTCTCCTACCTACATTATATAGGCAGCCTTATTCTATTTTATACCATTTCAAAACATAAACAAGAATTCAAATTTTTAGGGGGTATTTGGTACGGTACTTTTAACAGGATTTAAGTTAGATTTAACGTAAATTCAACCGAACACCATATATTATCCACTGTTAAGTTAAATTTAATTTTTGCTTGTTTTGTTTATAAATCTAGATTTATTAAATCCACTTATTAGTTGGATATAACGGATTTATTGTAGGAAAAAAAATATTACGAATATATTTATGCCAAATACATCAAATGGATTTAACCGGATTTAACATTAATTGAACTAAATATTATTTCGGATTTAATAATATTTAGATTTGATAAATCCAAATTTAGTGGATTTACTAAATCCTATTTAACGGAAATCCTACTTGCAGCCAAATCCCCTTTTAACTTGGAGAGGTTCAACCATTTCCAAGATAGCTGTGTTAAATTCATTTTGCATGAAGAACTTGAGCGCCTTCATTGGCACATGTTTGACTCACACTCATCTTAAGTGCTCTCTAGCATGTATGGAATGCGCTTAAGAACGTGTTTTGACTTTTTTTGCCAAGGGCTCCTTTGTTTGCTTTCGATAGAATGCACTTATTTGAAATGATTAATTTTTGCTAGATTCTATGATTTTTTCTATGTATTTAAAAATCTACATGGAATTTTCAACCAAATGCCATTATTAAATAAGGTTTGGACATCTCCAAGGCACAATCCGATATCTGTGAGTGCATAATCCAGCATAACCTATGTGATTTTGGTTGGTTTGAACTAATTTAGTCATTAGAGGTGAACTGGCAAACCTAGTCCTACCAGTGAGTCGACTCATAACTCTTGAAGAGGTAAGAGGTGATGATTGCCTAAAGAAAAGTGGAGGAAGTTCGCGAGTCATGGGAGCCGTTCCATCTGAATTAGACATTTTTGGTTGGGGCTGATTTGGTTAATAGCAGGCTGAATATGCCTGCCAACGGAGATCCGGAGAGGACAAGTGAGATGATGTAGAGGTGTGGCACAGAGATATTTGACCAAATGGATGAGGCTCATGGTGGCAGTCTAGACATAGAATCTTGTCGTGCAATGATTAGGAAGCTAGAGTGGCAACTTGAGAAGTAGTGCATTCCAATAGGTCCAACCTGAGGGAAAGAAGAGGGGATTAGTGTGGAGGAGGAAGACCAAACCACAAGATTTGATACAGGCGCCACTATAGGTGTTTAAATAGGCTACATCCACTTGCAAGATTGAGGTGGGAGGGGTGTCCTGTGGCAAGTTCTTGCTACAAGCAAAGATGGATGCATAATGATTGAATGAATGGAAGGATCCTATTAGCCCATGGGGGGCTCTCCTTGTGAGCTTTCAAGCTAGATAGTTCATGTGAAGTACTAGGGAGGCTTGAGCATATTCAAAGGAGAGTTTGTGATGTGCCTTGGGTCATGCTAGACCTCGGAGGGTGGTGCTAGTTAATTCTTGACAGAGGAACACCTATATGATGAGTTGTGCCGAAGGAGACTGCTCCCTGTGAATATTTTGCTGAAGAAGAGCGTGAAGCACTGATAAATGGCATATGAAGACGGCGGTTTAAGTGGTTCAACATTGTAGGCTATGTCCACCACACAACAAAGCGGAGTTTGTGTTATGGACAAGGTAAAATGTTTTAAGGTACATAGAATTCCCCTATACCATTGAACTGGCATATATAATGAAAGGACAAAAGATGGAAAGGAAAAGGGAAGGATGTGGACCTGTCTTCATTTCAGAGGTATTCATGCATCAAGTTAAAAGTCAATTGTTCTCTTTCATGGAGGAATAAAATTGTAGATGTTATGCATCTGAGGCGGTGTTGGCATGGCTTATGTCATGTGATAAGAAGTTTATCCCTCAATACATGGGCATCATAGATGTTCTTTTGGAGGGGTTTGCATAATATGGGTTGTGGAACAAATGGTGTACCAAGAGAAGAACAAGTGTCGAGTGATGAATGACAGTCTATCATTTGAGCATGAGCTCTTGGAGTTGTGGATCTCATGGTAGAGAAACACTAAGGATGCTTCTTTAGAGAAAAAGACAAGGTCCTTGTCGGCGATAAAAAGTGGGAGTTTGGGGGAGGAGTTGCCCGTAGGAAGCTGTCGGTCACCGGAATCAAAATTTCGTCGCCCTCTTCGGAAGGACGCTTTAATTTACATATAGATTTAAGTTCAAAATCAAATATGAAAATCAAACTGACCCCATATTTTCTATAGTTTAAATGGAATAGCGTTTTACCTGAAAACCCTGTATATATCTCAAGGGATAAACACAAGACTTGAGGATGAGACTCGATCAAACAAATTAAGAAATACATGACATCCGTTTGATCTGCGAAATCGTTTTATTTGCCGACAAATTCCCCTATTTAATATGAAAAATTAAATAGAGTTTATTTTAAGCTGGGTTCGGAAAAGCTTCCTATAAGGGCAAGTCCCTATAATTAATTACATCTTAAATGACTGAAATCACTTAAGAATACTCTCGATAAAAATCAGGAAAAATATCTTCAAGGACTTCAAAAGGATGAGACTTTTCAACGAAATCGGGCAAAGAGGTGTGAAAGGGGAATGACTCAAGTTCGTAACATTTATTACAGAATCCAAAGAAAGAAGAATTAGGGGATGCCACAGATCCAGAAGAGATCCTCGGTGACTTCCCAGTCTACCATATGATTTGGTTTCAGTTTTGAGGAGAAATTATTCAAATATTTCATCCTGTCAATTTTATTTAATTGGGGCTTACATTCATGTGAAACGATCGCACAAACGGCCCGAGAGATGTGAGGATTTAGGTCGTAACGAACCACAATCTCAAAATCCTAAAACGAGTTAGGGCTTAGATTGCATGGTAGAACTGTACAAATGTTTAACGAAAAGTTGAGGATTTATGTTGCGCTAGGCGAACAACCTCGAAATCCTATGGATTGTTGTGTTAATTCTATGAAAAGAATGGTTTAACTGGGGAAGACATGTTCTGTTGTTGAAGATGGTCGTGCTGCCCACCGCGCTAGTTCCAAGCTTCTTGTCGTGACGAGTTTAAGTTTTCCAGGGTGTCAGGTTATGATGTCAAATCTATTGGCCTTATGGTTGTAGTTCTTCAGATATTTTATAGATAACATGTTGAAGTTGCACGGTGTATATCATAACAGTAGAGTATGTAGCACAGGACAAGCAGTAAAATATGCAGTAAAGAAAACAATACAACATGCAGTAAACGAATACAACAGATAGCTGATTTGCAAGAAAGTAACATGCTGTAAACATAAAACAAATCTGTATTCCTGAGAGGTCCGCTGTTCTTGAGGTGTAATTGATACAACAAGTGCAAGCAACAAAACTTGAGGAAACAGACTGAAATGCTTTATATAAACAAAAGCAAAGAAACGTCACTTAGAAAACACGAGAAATGCGAGGAAATCGACGAAGCGACAAATCAATGAAAATTGATGAAAAATCGTAGAAAACACGGAAAAAACCTGAAAAGAGACCACGAGTGCTTTATCCAAAAGTTCCGAGAAAGACGTATGAAAAAGTCCGAAAAGAGGGGGACCGCAAGCACTCAGGTCGGGGTTAGGCTTAACTATATATTAGTACTCAAGGGTCGTCGAAGGCTACTCGATCACCCGGATGTATAAAGCCCGCCACTCAACCAGAAGGGTGTCCAATCGAACCTAACTCAGGAGGGTACTCTTTAGCCTAAACATGTGATCAACAGGTGGACAACTGATGTTTAAATGTATTTAAAATTTATATTTTCAGCATACACATGGGTTTCAAACATGCAATAGTGGGTTGTATCAATTTTGTTTTTAGCGAAAAATGTATTTTTATTTTAGAAAAAAGATTTATCTGTTCTTATCAAATTTGTTTTTATCAATTTTGAAAAGTAGTTGTCCACGAGTTCATCGCGCTGTCGGGCATAAGGCTACCAGCAACCTAAGAAGGTTCGGGTCAACTCCTGCTAGCCTTGTGTCAGTGAATGATACTGTCATCCTACAACTCACCGGGTTCCTGAATCAGATCCTGATGGGTTCCTGAATCGGATCCCGATGTCGTAGGATGACATATCATTCTGCTCTATCTCCGGTATGCCTTTGTCATCACCGCCCTAAGCCCCAAAACAAAACCGACCTACTTGTGACCTTGCTTGATGGTTTCACGTATAGCAAAAGGTTATACGTGGACACTTATGTATCGGACATAAGCATCAAAAACCGAACCAAGAAGCAAAGAAAAAAAGAACAAAAATGGGGTGAGAGAGAGGAAGCACTGATCCACCTAAAACACTGAAAAGACGGAGGACAGATCAGCCCTCAAAACTCGTAACGAAAAGACCTGAAAAGGAATACCCAAAGATCCTTGAATCCATCCGAAAGGGTACCATTTTTCTCATATTTTCATAAGTGGATCAACCCAAGCCAAATTGATCTCCTGACGCCGGTATCCAAACCCCAGAAATATCTCTTAGTTTCAATCAAGTATTCTCCTGTAATAAAATTTAGAAATCTCTCAAACCTCACAATTTAAATAAAAGGAATATAATCCTGGAACGACGACCACTTATACTTTGAAAACCATGCCAACATTAAAGCTGATCAATCCCGAATTTAATGAAAATCTTCTCGTATCAAATAAACATGAAATCCTCTGGCCAAAACCACATAAAAGCTCACGACCACGCTCAATATAAAGAGATGAACAACAACTAAGACTCTCGGCCAAACCAACAAAAGGGCAGCTGCTAAAGCCCATGACCAAAGACCACCCAAGACACAACAAGTAAGGCTCACGGCTCAGGCAACCTAAGACATAAGGAGCTCACGACTAAGGCAATCAAAAGAACCACCAGTGGCTACTATGTTCCTTCGGCATACATAAGAGGATAAATGAGATGATTATAATTTTTGGGATGACAAACTTGATTCATCAATAACATTCAAGCCTTTCGAGCCCAACGAGAAGGACCAAATCACACCAAACAAACTCCAATAGGTCTCACGGGTAAGGACTGCAAGAGGAGCAAATCCCAATGATGAGCTCACGGGTAGGACCAAAGGGGAGGCCAACTCAACCACATCACAAGCCCACGGCTAGGGACCAAGCAAACATCAAACTGCAGCCTTATAAACTTCCAAACCATAGGAGCTAAGGCCAACAACAATTAAAACCCAAACCACCTCTCGGGTAGGGGCAGGACAAGGCAAAACCGAGCCATAGTCAGAGCCAAACCGAGCCACAACTAAGACTCAAACCCAAGCCACAATAAGGACTAGAAAACATCTCTATGCCCTCATGACATCAAAATATAGGACGACCATATGTCTCAAACAAGAACAGCTATGAAACTCCTCCAAATCAAAATAAATTCCTCCACAATATGTATTTTTATGCCAAAGGACATCCACAAGATGCCAAAACCGAGCCCAGTAGGGGCCAAAGAAAATGAAACCAAACCTTCCCACAGCTATGGAGCAGGGGTAAGAATAAACACCAGAAACGGGCTCTCGGATATGAGCTAAGACAAGCAAACCGAGCCCCCAAACAAAGCCAAAAGCAAACCCTTCAAAGCCCATACGTGAAGCTTAAACAGTTAGGACAATGTTTTAACCAAAACCAAAAGCCAAGCCCCAACAAAACTAACATCCCATGCCCTTTCAAGGTGAAAACCGAGCCCTAATGGAGGCTAGAAACCAAAATTTTACAATCTACAAATGCAGTTTATGGTAATAAATCCAAACCCAACCATCCTTAAGCAAACCGAAAACCAGCAGGGGCCAAAAATCAAGCCGCAGCTAAGGCTCAAAATCAGGCCACACTGAAAGCTAAAAAAACACCTTCATGCCTTCAAAATATCAAAACATAGAGCCACCACATGCTTCAAATACAAATAACTATAGAACTTTTTCAAATCACTATAAACTTCTTCCTAGCTTGCATTTTGAGCAAAAAGAATCCTTGATATGTCAAAACCAAGCCCTTCTCATGCATGAGAGGCCAAATAAACCCTTCCAATATCTCATGCTAGATAAGAGTGAATGAAAAGCTTCATAATACATATCCCAACATGCTTGAAAGAGGAGCCAACATTATCTCAAAGCCACATTTTAATATTTCCAATTTGCTTCCCATAGAAATATGTCACAGTAAATAGAAATATGCTATAGTTTCATCACCTTAAGCAAGTAGAGAAAAGAGAAGAACTGATAACATGCCATACTTCCATCATTTTAAGCAAGTAATCAAGTCTAATTCCTAAAACATGCTCACATTTCCATTTCTAGATGCTTGAGTACCAAGTGATTTCAAAAACAAAAGTGTAATACCATGCAAGCATGCTATACCATCCACCGCACCAAGCTCAAAGGCTCGACAGAGAGAAAACCGAAGAAAGACAAGGCACAGGAGGCAGGAAGAAGGGGTATCTCCCTGAAGCAAAGAAAAGCCAAACAAAAATTTTCAAAGCACTCCTCCACTTCACCTCCTCTCCCAACAGCAAGAGGAAATCGATTCAAGCACCAGAAGATCAAAGAAGTGAGTGAGAAAGAAAAATAGCAGAGTTTTCTCCCTTAGAGAGATTTTCAGCCACCTAAACGCTCCAAAACAAAGTTTCATATAAACCATAAAGAAGGAGAGGGAATGATTAGGGGATCACATGCGGATCTAAGAAGGATCGAGAGAGACAGAGGATATGATCCTCGCAGAGACTACGCTCTGCGGCAGGGAGGATCGAGAGCAGACGGGATAAGATACCCGCAGAGGATAGGATACGTGATGGGCGACTGCGAGAGGCGAACGCGGGAACGAAATCTCCCAATGGCACGAAGAAGCGGGCCAGGCAATCGAACGAGCCATGCTAGGGCAGAGGTAGGCCCACGAGTGCGAAGGAATGAGGCGGGGAGGGAGATAGATTTAGGTTAGGTTAGGGATTTTTAATATATGTGATTAATAATAATAATAATAATAATAATAAAATATTATTTATTATAAGTAATACTTAAATATGTATTTTTCCCAAGACGCGCCATCACAATGAAACGAACATCACCCAGGCAAAATCGATGTTCCGGACGCATCGGCGCAGTCCGTTTCGTCATCCGGAGTCGTCTGGGCAACCTCGTCGTCGATTGGACTAAAAACGCGTCGTGGCCCGAATCCTATCAAAATTTCGGCTCGAATTCGATTAAACGGGACGGCGAAGAGCGCAGCCGCGAAGGGCGAGGTGACGCCAAATCAATGAGTAAAGTCAATCCTAAGGCTGACAGTCCTATAGGAAAGCTCCCTGAGTTCCTTCGGTGTAGCCTTACCTGCTAGGCAATAGCGGTCAAAACTACTACATGGAACGTCAAGTCGAGCGAAGAAAAGTTTAGAATTGTTAACGGGAAGGGCTCATTCACTAATTTTCTAGGAGTAGTCGACATAAATGTCCTACGGCTAGATCCTAGGCTACTCAGGCCTAGGCTACTAAGGAGGGGAAAACTACACCTCGACCAAAAGCGAGGTCAACAGTCATCAAACTTGATAAGATGCTTCTGTAGATATTTGGAGAATTAGATTTGGTCTAATTAGTAGCTAGGAGTAAACATCGGGTTGGAGATTGTAGGAGAGTGGGGAGATTGCTAGAGAAACTAACTGGAGAAGTCATGAGAGCAGAGGGAGTGCCAACCTGCTGGGTAGGCCAAGTTATGGTGGAGAGGTTGCGTTCTTAATGGCACCAATTGGGAGATATGGCGTTCAAATCAGATGAAGTTGGTTTTTGCTGATCAGCTGAGACCTAAAGGTCGCTTTGGATATGGTCGGAGGGAAGTTGGACTTCTGATTCTACTTTCTTCTGGATTTGTTAATAGTTAACTGGACTTAACCGAATTGTTGATTTTGGTTATAGTGGGGGATAGTTTAAGTGGATGTGCTTGACGCTCTAACTTTTAGGTAATGTGTTTGGGATCTTAACTTTTGCACTTCCCTGCCACGTGTATGCTTACAATATAATTTAAATAACCAAGCATTATACTAAATGACGTGTAGGTAATGTCGTGGAATGGTTCACCAAATCAAGTAATAGTTTTATCTCATAAATAAATGCATTTGAGTTGTTAGCCCTCATGAGCGGTGGTAGAGGGAGGGAGATCATCATGCTTCAAATTTTTTTTTCCTTTGTATAGCATAAACACTAAAACTTTGTACATTGAGATTCGTCACTTTATGCGTGAGCTTTTCCTTCTATAAAGCTAGAGTATGAAGTGGGCAATCAATGATTGCGTTATGCTTCATAACATTTGCGTAATATAGTCTTACTGTGTTAACAAGCGTACTCTAATGTGCTAAGCTCTTCATTGGTAACTTAGAACCATGTCAGGATTCATGAGCTTTTTTTTTAAATCCACCACATGATATGTCCACTGCCCTAAAAATTGATCAGTCCTATTGAGAGGTATAGAAGAAAAAATATTAGTTTCACTATAAAAAAAACAAGTTCATATACCTTAACAATTGTTTTTTCCTAAAAATGTCATACAAATCATCTTTTCCAATAGTGAACTTTTGATTTGTTTTCCGAAAGAAATGCTCAAATCTTAGTCTTATTGAACACATTTTATCTTACATTAATCTTATTCAAATATTTATCTTACATTAAATTTGATACATTCCTTATATTGATTAATACTAGTTTTATGCTTGTCATAAATAGTGAATTCTCTCTCTCTTTTTTATTTTATTTGGTGAGAATCCCACAGGCTTCTTTCAAAAGCTATTGTATGGTGACATGAAAATTGTAAACATGCATGTTCAATAGATGGAGGGAGGAGGGACAAAGATAACGTATATTCTCAAAGGCTTAGATATAAGGAGCGCGTCTACAGAGTGACTCATTATACTAATTACAGCTAAAGTTTATACAGCTCAAGCGCACTATCACGCTCAAGCTCATGATTATTGATGATATAAAGAGGCCTTTCTTTAATTGGAAAAAAAAAAGTCTAGAGGATGTTGGGGCCGCAGCTTCCTATTGTTTTAATTAATATAAGTGATTATAAGGTCAAATGTAGATTATATTTTGGTATTTTTGTATAAAAAACACGAGTGATAAATTTGATGAGATGTTATTATAAAGAAGAATGAATAAACTTTGTGATGCAGCACTAGGATGTCAAATTAATCTCTCGCTGTTCAAGCATGATCTAGGCAACCATAATTTAGATTTAGCAATATTGACCTTTGTTATTAAACTTTGTGATGCAGCACTAGGATGTCAAATTAATAGAAGTTTTTGGAAAATGAAGAGCATTAGTGTGCCTAAATTATAGTATTGTGTTTACTATAACACTAATATTTTTTTTGCAAATATATATATATATATATATATATTTGCAAAAAAAATATTAGTGTTATAGTAAACACAATACTATAATTTAGGCACACTAATGCTCTTCATTTTCCAAAAACTTCTATTAATTTGACATCCTAGTGCTGCATCACAAAGTTTAATAACAAAGGTCAATATTGCTAAATCTAAATTATGGTTGCCTAGATCATGCTTGAACAGCGAGAGATTAAATTGAGTTGTCCTAAGGGCAGGTGGTGTGAGTTAGTTTTAGGCTGCACAATTGTCACTCCTAGCAATAGTGGATGGGAGTATGCATCATGCTTACTATCTGTGAAATGAATAAGAGATGTCTAACCTCCTGTAAGGAATTAACAGAGGCATTAATATGAGTATTGTTTACCTATAAATAGCTCAATTCGGGATATAAAGTGTGTGATCCTTATTTGAGTGCTAACCATGAGAATGAAAGATGTCAAAAAAAAAAAAAAGGGTGATTGTACAGCGATTTCAGTTATTTTTTTAGGTTTTAGTGATCTTAAATTTAACAGTGATTTCGAAAGAATTACTGTGGTTGCTACATTTCTTGCCGAGTTGGTTTTGTATAGATTGTTTCGTCTGCTAGATCGTTTTAATTTTATGCAATACAGAGAGAAATTTGACTGTATGATTTGCAGTATATGTCGTTGGAGAAATTATTACGATATGTTTTCCAGCATAAATGTATTTGGAAATTATTTTGATGAGTGATAGCCACTCGTTGTATTCATGAACGTTTTTTCTCAAGTCCGCAGACCTGGAATTGGTTTGGGCATGTTAAATTTCAAAAATTGTTAAGTCTCGGTTTGAAGAAAATATTGTGTTTGGACGACGGCGTGAATCACACCGTACTTTAGAATGCACAGTGTGGTGTGATTCATGTCATCATCTACATGTCTGGTTAAGCGCATGTAATATCTTTCTTTTGAGCTTGAGGTTACATTTAAATCTTATCCTCAGTTTGATGCTAAATTTAAGTCTTGTTCCTACCAAGCTTGAATCCAGTTAATAATAATATCAGTGCAAAATTAATGTAGAAATTGTGCTTATGTGGCACTATTTTGTCAATTTTTTAGTTATTTGTTTAAATTGATAATGCTAATTTTAATTTAAACTTTAACTAATTTTAAAATTTTGCCAAATCAAAAAATTAAATTAAACTTGAAGTGGCTCCCTGCAACTTTATTGTCCGTATGCTCAAACAATTTATGTTCTTTTATGACCATTTTCAGCTATTCTTGTTTTATTTTTCAAACATTTATGCTATTATTTTACTAGATTTATTTTCTTTTAAATTTTATTAATTGAATTACTAAATAATCATGTCTTGTTATACATGACAGCTTATTTGACCTGATTTAGCTATATACTGTAGTCGAGCCAAATTAAGTCCAAGTTAGGTCAAGTCTAACTTAATTTTGCCAAGCCATGCTTAATCTCGCCTGACTACATTAAGCTTGTTTTAATTATGCTAAGGCAAGCTAAGCTAAGCTAAATCAAGTCTAGGCTAGGCTAACCTACCCATGTTACATCTTAAATGACCGGAGTCACCTAAGAAAACTCTCGATAAAAATCAGGGAATACTATCTTCAAAGAAGTCAAAAGGATAAGACTTTTTAACAAAATCGGACCAAGATGTGTGAAAGGGGAAAGACTCGAATCTGGAACATTGTTGGGGAATCCAAATGAAGAGAAATTAGGGGAAGCCACAGAATCTGAGGCGAGCCTCGGTGGCTTCCCAATTTATCCTATGATTTGACTTCAATTTCGAGAAGAAATTATTCAAGTGTTTCATCCTGTCAATTTTAGTTAATTAGGGCTTATATTTGCGTGACATGGTCACACAAATCGCCTGGAAGATATGAGGGTTTACGTCGTATCGGACGATAACCTCGAAACTTAGAATGGGTTAGGGCTTAAATCATACAGCAGAGTTATATGAATGCCTAAGGAAAAGGTGGAGGATTTATGTTGCGCTAGACAAACAACCTCAAAATCTTATGGATTGTTGTTTATTATGGATTGTTGTTTATTATGGATTGTTGTTTAATTTCTAGGAAAAGGAATTGTTTTGTTGGGAAAGACATGTTCTGCTGTTGAAGATGGCCGTGCTGCCCACCGCGCTAACTCAAAGCTCACCGACGTGACGAGTTTAAGTTTTCTAGGGTGTCCAGTTATAGTGTCAAATCAAACGGTCCTATGGTTGTAGTCCTCTAATCATCTAAACATCCTATATAAAAAAGGGAGGCATGATTAAAGCTATATAATATGAAATGTGCAATACATGAACAAACAGTAGAATGTATGTAGAACAGTAACAGGTAGAAACAGAAACAGTATAATATGTTATACAGGAGGAACAGTAGCAAGTGAAAACATGAATAATATAACATGTTGTACGGTACGATAGCAGGTAGGAACAAAAATGGTATAACATGCTGTATAGGAAGAGCAGTAGCAGGTAGAAAACAAAAATAATATGACATGTTATACATTACAATAACAGACAGAAACAAGAATAGTATAACATGTACAGAAATAATAGTAACAAGTAGAAACAAGAAAATGAAGTGCTGTAAAATGTAAAGCAAACATGTATGCCCGTGAGATCCGCCTGTTTCTTAAGTATAGCAAG